TTCCGCTTGATAAGCCACTTAATTATGCATTCCCCTTTTGAGTGCAGGGCGCGAAAGTAGTTCCATTTTTTATTTAATTATTTGAAATTTTATATTGCCTTCTGTTCCAGATACTGTGGAACGAGCAAAATTTATTGCCATTTTTAAGCAGCTCATTAGGCTTACAAATTATATTGCTAAATTTCACAGTTGCTCGCTTTTTTATATTCTGCGGCGACTCTCAGGCGTGCCACTGCAAATTCTGTAATCGTTTCGTAATCGCAGCCACACAATAAAATAGGCATTTAATTGCTTACTAAGTTTTAAATGCGAGAGTGGGAATTGCTTCATGCCAGTGCAAAAATCTGATGTGTCAGGAAAGCATTTCAGTAGATTTTGAAATTGTAATGACCGCCAAGGTGGGGTAGACAATTATTTTGCTTGCATCTTTAGAAATTAGGCATATACATAGATGAGTATACGATGATTGCTGAAGGTTTGTTTTCCAATATGTTGACTAGTAGTGTTCATTAAATTGTGGCAAAACTCATGTGGAAATATGCAATCAAATCAATAAAGAACTTATGACCGACAAACTCCTTACACCCTTACATGAACCATGCCACATGGTTTCTAAACGAAAATTGAGCTGCAAAAACGTTTTCTCCAATCTGCACATCGAATGTTTAAATTTGAATGCGGCTTAATGCCTTTAGGCTATTAAATATGTAAGTTGTGTAAAATATATGAAATATTAAGATGTTTATCTTAGGAAAAATTTGGAATTCAAATCTACAGCGAAACAATAATATACTTGAAATAATTCCAAAATAGATTACATACATCAGCAGATACTATTTACATATATAGAGAAATTACAACAAATAACTAATAAATTCTAATCGCTAAATTTTTAATGATAATTTGTTTTCACTAAATGACAAATAGGAAATATAGTAGGTAGTGGAAGTGTATTTTTCTTGCCAATTTTTTAAAAACCTTATATTCAGTAATCTTCGAAAACTAGGTAGTACTCAGTGGAGGTATACAAACAAATATTTCAATATTTTCAAACTAATAAAACTTTAACATAAGCACAATTTATCCAAACCAAATTTTGCTTTTATTTAGATTAAAAACAAAATCTATTTTAACTGTAATCTGAAAACAAGGCCTAGAAAACATTTCATTGAATATGTGAGCATAAACCAATCCTAAACTAGTTAGAATACGCTTTTATACCAACATTTTTAGATCATACTTATATCGTAGCTATAAGTATTCAGAATTTATTATACAAGTTTGGAGATATTGGCGCATCAGCCACATCGTTATGTGGCTATAACGTTTGAGAAGTCGTAGCTAACTTTAATAACTAGCTCAGGCGATAAAATAATTTTATAAATCTTACCTAACTCCTCTTAATGTTGATTAAATAAATTAATAACACAGCTTCTGTCAACTGTTCAATGGCCTCAAAAGTTATATAGGGATACTTTCAACGGAACTATGAAGCTAAAATTATTCATTGTTTTGCTTTTTGAAAAGTGCTTGGCTTATGTTCATAATTGTTATAGTTGGCTGGGTCTAGACGCCTCGTTCCAGCTGTGCTGCTAATGACATATGTACAAGTATAACACATTTTTGACTGCCGGTCAATGAATGTCACAATTTTTATTATGGAATGCCTATCGAATACGAAATGGGCCTAGTATAGACAAGCTGTTGTTTTTATACCCTGTACCCGTAGGGTAAAAAGGGTATATTAGGTTTGTGCAAAGTATGTAACATGCAGAAGGAAGCATCTCCGACCCCATAAAGGGTATATATTCTGAATCAGCATGACGAGAGAAATCGATCTAGACATGTCCGTCCGTCCGTCTGGATGAACGCAAGGATCTCAGAAACTATAAAAGCTAGAATAACCAAAGCTGGTATCCAGTTTCTCCTAGGTCCGAGAAAGAACGAGTATATTTTATTTTTTGGAATTTTCCCCCCCTTCCCCCGCTACAGAATTTAATTTCTATATAATTATCTACCTTTTATCTAAATTGGTTAGTTCTAAGAAAAGTTATTAGCGAAACAATTTTACTTCGGTACTACGCCCACAAGCTGCAGCATCAAGTTCGCTCTTCTTCTTCCTTTTGCTTCTGCTAGAGGCGCATATACCTCAGTGCCGGAAGTTTACCTGGGTACAGGGTATTTCACTGTCGGGCTTGCTAGACTGTAGCGTTCTCTCTTGTTGTTTATATCGAATGCCGGAGCTAGGCGAAGAGAGAATAACCCATAAAGATCCATATATGTGCATACATACATATATAAGTATTGTGTATGTGGCCGAGTCGGAGGGTCTCCAAGGCAATTATCAAACTTGGCAGTTGGCAATATCGATGCTATCGGAACTCTATAATTGGCAGGTTTCTAGTTTCCGCATTCAGCACAGGCCTGATTTTTGGCACGTATACAAAGGTTCCATTGAGTCACCGACCATTGACATTAGAAGGGATTCAGGTTTGGGGGAATCCCGTCTGCATGTTGCAAGATTTTGAAAGAATTACGTCTTCAAAAGCAGTAAAAAGACAGTTTAAAGAACAAACGTCGCACCGGCAACTATAGCCTTCGGCTACCGGCATCTGTTTTTTGAATTTAAATTGTTTATCGTTCGAATCTTTATATTTCGGATTCATTGGATTTCCTCAAAATGCGCCATAATTATGCATAGCACGTTTCTCTCGGCGATATCGTATCAAGAAAACCACAACATTTGCAACGAAGACAACAATTCAAATTTAATCTTCTAATAAAATAACTTTATTTGTGGCTAATCTTTTATTTAGCAGACGAATCACTGCTTTTTTTTCCTTTCCTATAAAATAAACGAGCGTCATAGCGACTTGATTGGCGACATACTCTCATGAGTACCAAGTTCTATCTGTGGCAACCGCCTTGAACTGGATATAACAGATATCCATTGCGGGCAATAAAAAATGTAATTGCGATTGAAACAAATAATAAGGAGGGTATGCTAATGGTGTAACCAAGTTCAGTTGCCCTTTTTCCATTACTAATAACTACTTTAACGGGCGGTTATAAACTAATCCTTCAAAATCAGTGTAAAATGAATCGTTACTCAAATTCCAATTTGAGAAATAATCCATGCACTTAAGTTTAGATAAGTGAATTAAAATATCTATTATGGAGGGTCGTATTTCTGTGCCAGGTAGTTGACCATAAAAAGCGTAAATGCGTTGTGAGATTTTTAGGATTTCATTGTTAACTACTTTTTTTTTTCAATGTCAACATTTGTTAATTTTATCTGCTTCAAATGTGCAAAGTTATGGGGTTCTTTTGGATAAGTGAAGATTAAAATGGAATAGTATAAGACAATGGAAATGATGGGAATTAAGGACAAATTTAAGATATATTGTAAATCAGTTCCAAACTTTGTTATTTGTCTCTCTCTCTTGATCCCATTTGTTAAAATATTGTAAATGGCCCTTTTTCTACATATTAATATATATGTACACATGCCTACGCGTATGTACACATACATAACCTACATAAGTGCACCTAAAAGTGGTCTTTAAAAATAAAAATAACAATGGATATTATGCATTCGCTTAAGCGTGAACTTCAATTAAACACGTACTCAAGATGTTCTCACGTAATCTATTAGTACGACTGCAAAATAGTTCAAATGTTCACAGACACGTGCCAATAATTTAGGGGATTTGAGCGTAAAACAAAAATAGCTTTCAGGTATTTGTGAAGCAAGCCTTATTGTGCTCAAATAGTGTTCGCCTTTTAAGCCAACCTATAACGAAGTCATACACCAAGCAATATAAGTACTCTGACGGATTATATATCAGGACGCCTTTCATACGAATATGAATACCTACGTATATATGTACATATATAGTATAAAAGGATTATATGAGGAATCCAAGAAGCGATATTTTACTCTATACACTTAAAACAAATTTTTAATGTTTTATTTTGATAACATACTTATTATAAAATAAAAACATACATGTTAACTAACATTCAAAACAATTAAATTAACTCGACCTATCTCGGATCTAGGGAGTTTTCGAGATTCTTGCATACACCCAGACGGACGGATATATCTAGATCGAATTCTCTTATCATGCTGATTCAGAATATATATACTTTATGGGGTCGGATATTCTGCCTTCTGCTGTTACATACTGTGCACAAACCCAATATATAAAACATGTATTTAACCAGTAATTGAATAATATTCAGATTGTACAAAATGTTTTTTTTTAAATAAGTTGCATTTTTAACCCAATTAATGATTGCTAGAATTTTCGACAGCACAAAATTCGAGACAAATAAAACTATTTAATAACTTCGTATCCAATTACTTATGCTGACTAGTGTACCTTTGTGCTATCTTGCATGTCCGAAGTAATTTCATATCAAAAATTTTCCCAGGCATTTCATTTACGCAACGTTATTAACAAATACGAGAGCTTAACAAACGAAAAACATTAACAAAGTAACTCCGTCAATTGGCGTGAGTCAGACTTTGGACAGAATGTTAGCCGATTTTATTGAGCGATTTATAAAATTAGCGTGTTTAAGGCCCGACACGGCTGCAAAACTCGACTCTTTCACCAAATTAGCGGGCGTGCGGGTTTTGCGAAATATTTAAATTTAATGTGTTAATGGTAATGATTGTTGTCAACTCCAGCTCCAAGGACCAAAAATAAGCAGGTGTCACTTACGTAAATGACAAGTTATCATAAATGGCTGAAGAGGCGCCAAATCGCAGTGAGCTGACATATTTTGGTCTTTAGATATAATTATCGAGTATTTAACAAATTCCGCTTAACATCGTTTGTTCATTTTTAAAAACTCTTATGTGTTTATTTATTTGTATAAATAAACAATTTCTCTTTATTACTCAAATCGCGGCCGTTTGCACATTTCTCTCCGCTGATGTCACTGTTCAAAAATGCGATTGTGCGGCAATACTTATTACTTAAAATGCTTACCCAGTTCAGATCAGTTTAGATTCAATCCGCTTAGCACCCGGCCCAATTACAATTTCAACGCTATTGTGCACGCTCTATTCAAGCAGCCCGATTTCGAATTGTCTGACGGAACGCCTAATTGTTTTTTGTTTGTTTTGTTTTTTGTTGTTTAGCCTATTTGTTGGTAGCATAAATTTTAAAATTTTCGCGTCGTGACTTAAAACGCGAACGCCGGAAACGCGATAATTCTGTGCGTTTTCTGGCCGATGGTTGGCAGGTAGATACCCAAATCGCGTACTATTCGATTGCCTTACCCATCGACGCCTTAAAAAAAGTAAGGTTTTAAGAACAATTTCATAAACTTTGGCGTCCCGCCTGATCGGCATGCAAAATACTTATGTACATATCTACATAAGTACAAGTACACTGCGAATAGGCCATGCACATTGGCCAAGTTGATGCGCGTATCAATACTGTCTTGTGGCGAGCTTTGTACGTAGTATGCAGCGCGTCCGTCGATGTTGTTCGCAGCACAGCAGAAACTGTAAAGTAAATAAGCTTAACTGTTGTTCTGAGTCAGCCCGCCAGTTAGTTAATCGGCTCGCCAGAGTCAGACACACGTTGCGACGCCACTCTCAAAATTGAGAGAGTAATTCGTTGGGAGCGGGTGTCGCTTGTTTTGTTTCTGCAACACACTCAACGGAAGCCGAGCTTTCTCACGCAGTCCGCACGAGAGGTGCCGCACGCTTTGTTCGAATTTCGCCTTCAACGCTGTTTCTCTTCACCGCTTGTCGACGATCCATTTGAATGTAAGCCGAGTGGCGCCAATATAGTATATGACAGGGACAGAGAAAGGCGTTAGCATTAACGAATGAATTACTTGCACACATCTATGCAAATAAATTCATACACCTACTAATTAGTCAATGAAATGAGGATGTCTGAATGTAGTTTTTTAGAAGCATAATAATGGGCGCAAGCAAAATTTTCTGAGCGCTCTTTAAACTTTAGAATTTTAATTCGAATTTCGACATTGCAGTGATCTAATTTTCAAAGTCCCGAACCAAGTATGTTGACACAAATATTTTTAAAAACGCATACAAATTTAACCGTTTGACATGAATTCAATTTTCTTCCATCGTTGGTGTCTATCGCAAAGCTGTTATTGAATGAACTATGACAATTTTTATGTTTTTTAAAAAAGAAAAAACCTTTTAAATAATAAATTACCTTTTAATTAGGCCTTTTAATCTAAAATCCAGAATAATAACAATAATAAACTAGTATAAGTAATAATGCTTAATCGCGTTATGAGTAATAATGAAGAAGTCTTCAATTCAAGGCTTGCAATAGGGGTCTGATTCAAACTATAATTCAGCAAGAGCATAACTTGTATTAACCATATTATCGGATATCCAGCCAGTCATATGAGCTGTACTTATGTTCCCACGTTTCCAAGGCGCAACCCTATATAATAATAGCTGTACATATTCATTTTACCAAAATAATAATGTAAGCCATAATTTCATTCATAACAATTACCAATGAACAATATTATTTTAATCTCATTACCAGCATGGCTTTTTCTAGTAAAATGCTTGTTTATAAAGCAAATAATACGTAACCATAAATGCATGTGAAAATAAATAAATAAATTCATTTAGAAAATACGTACTATGTATGTATGCATATTTGCAAAGAATGTTTTTACTGTCATTTGTTTTGTTCGGAATTAATACGACAAGAGAACAAGAAAGGAATGCTAAAGTCGAGCAGGCTCAAATCTTAAATACCCTGTACCACCCAACAAAAAAATAAATTTAATTAATTAATTAATTGATGTAATTAAATTAATTTAATTAATGAACTAAATTAAATATAAAATATTCCATACATACACTAATATACCCTTGTGCCCTTTGGGTACAGGGTATAATAACACGTCCCATGCCCACCTATACTACTTATGCACTCATATACATACATATATGTACATATGTATGTATGTTATGTACATGTAATTTTATATTTCTTTGTTAAATTTCAGGATCAAAAATACGGTGTCTTCTCCGTTTTCAACAAAAACACAATTATGTTGAAGCTAGAAGCAAAGTAAGTATGTAAGTATAATCATTGGAAAAATGAAAATATTATGTAATCAATTTTGGGAAATATGTATATAAATACATACTAAGTATAATCAAATAAAAAGAAAATGGCATTATAAAAATAGTTTTGTTTATTTTTCTTTTAAAATTGTGTAGACCTAAAATAAATTTAAATATAAAATAAACTAAGACTGCACATATTCTTGTTAGTATTTTTGCAAGCAAGTCGCAACAGCCCGGCTAGCTCAGTCGGTAGAGCATGAGACTCTTAATCTCAGGGTCGTGGGTTCGAGCCCCACGTTGGGCGAGTTTAACTTTTTTCTTCCACATTATAAATAAATACTAATATTTTATGTGTTGTGTTTTATATAATTATTGTTTTACATATTTAACTTTTGTACTCACATTTAATTTGATCAAACACTCCTATTAAACTACAGATCCCCCTTGTATATCATTGGCTTATTCCGATATTGAGTTTCAACAGTCTGGCAGCATCGCTTACGAGGGGTAACCTTATCGTATGCAGCCCTGGTCCCAGCTGTCTTGCAATTATACATTCATTTGCAGCACCATCACCTGTGTATATGTGTAAAAGTGAAACTGCGCGACAGGGTGAATGAAAAATTAGTTGATTTTATTTAACTAATTTTTTAAAAGCTAAAGGCAAAGGAGAGCTTAAAGGGAACAAGGGACAAAATAATAAAAATGTGCGGTGGTTTTACCTGCTCGAAAAACGCGCTAATTGCGCTTAACATTCTCTATGTTGTAAGTATTGCTACAAACAAAAACAACAAAATGTGACTATTGTTGTAGTTGCAGTTGGGCAAAAAGTTTACCTTTACCCGTGCATGTCTCGGTATTGATTTTCTTTTTCTGCCATGCACCCGCTTCTGTTGTTCTGTATTTCCTATTATAGTAACAAGCGGCGTTCTTTTTTCTCCACATCCACTTACAGATGATTGGATTCTTGCTGATTGGGGTGGGCGTTTATGCGCGGGCAGCCTCCATTGTCACAAACCTGCCCATTGTAGGCGGCATCTTGGCGTGCGGCGTGATACTCATCCTCATCTCTATGTTGGGCCTTGCTGGCGCCGTCAAACATCATCAAGTGATGCTGTTCTTCGTATCCTTTTCACAAAGACAATTCAAAATGCACCTAAGACAAAGGCCAGACTAGGGCACAGAGCGCACGCACAAGTTAGCTTCGTGTATGCAAATGTCGAAACGCGTTTAGTGGGCAACGTATGCTGAAGGTCGTCCCTGTACTCAGTGCATGTTGGATTGGGGGAACAAAATTCGTATAAGTACACATTTCCGCAGATTTGTTATACATGCACATTTTATTTGGCCTAACACATGCATACATACAGAAGTATGTACAAGTACATAGATACAAGTTAGGCCAAAGTGACTCGCGATTTTTTACATCAGCTTAATATTAACTCAATGACTCAGCGTACTATTGTCGCTGCAAATGATTTGCTCCAAATTATGCAACTAACAAAACTTCCGGCTTTTGGGCCATTGCGAAATGAGCAGTCTGTCTAAATTAGTTACGTGCATGACCTCAAGCATTGAGCTTCGATGATTCAATGTTGTTTATTGGAACCCGAATAATGATATTGCTTTTCAAACAGACGTAGTTAATGAAAACTGGACAATAATGTAAGGAATTTACATGTATGCATTGTAATCCGATCCAGGTAGCGATCATCTACATATATGCTTTTCTTTATAAATGCAACAGCGTTTTAAGTCATTTCGGTAGTGTAATCGTAGTCAAATACATACAAGTATATACTCTCGCTTATCAACTTTTATATAATTACACCTAAAATATGTGAGTTAATGTTATAGGAAAGAGCTAGAGTTTATAAATCACTAATGTGTATATACAATTATTGTAATGCCTTAACTCAAAGTATTTCATTCTCACAGTACATGATCATTCTATTCATGCTGTTCCTTATCCAGTTTTCCATTGCGAGCTCTTGTCTGGCCGTCAATGAAGAGCAACAGCAGCAATTTGCGGAGCAAGGCTGGAATACCGTGCCGCCAGAGCTGCGGAAGCAGGTGCAGGACAGCTTCTTGTGCTGCGGCTTCAATGCCACTAGCGCAGCCGAAGCAGGACCATCATGCGAATTGATCAACAAAGAATGCTGTATGGACTCGAAGGATGATCCTTCATGCCATTGCGGACCGTGTGGTCCATTGCTGGAGGATAAGATCGACTATGCGTTTAAGTTATGCGGTGGCCTGGGCATCTTCTTCAGCTTCACTGAGGTGAGTGGACATATTTGAGCCGCACGTTTCTTAATCTTAAAGTTATCTCTTACTCTTACCTCTCTAACATGCTAAACAGTTCGTTGGTGTTTGGTTAACAGTGCGCTATCGCAATCAAAAGGATCCGCGCGGCTTGCCCAGCGCTTTCCTCTAAATTGAAACTATCAAAACTCATTAAACTAACCACAGTCATCATTACATGTCCCTCAGACAGAACAAAACGGTGTATACTTCATTTCCGTTAACGTCAAACCATAATTGTGGTCAGTTTATTCATTTTAAGGTCTAGTCTGGTATCATTATACATACACACATACATATACTAACGTAATAGACATACATATTATTACACGCATATTTATATTTATATGAGCAGTACATGCCACTAAACATATACACGAAACTATACACAAAACTTGCTTAAGGATATAATATTACAACAAACGACTTTAGACACATATACACGTTTAATCCGCTAAACAAATCTAAGCAATCAACAGTTTTTTAACTGACATGACAAACTCATTCATCAGCATTCATAACCCGTCTCATTTAGTGTTCGATATTTGACCCAATACATGTAGTACTATACATTTCACTCGAATGCGTCCTTTGCCCTTTGACTAACAACATGTACACTGGTCGGCACAATTATTTTGACGAGAAGAAAATCATACATTTTTGTCAATAACTGGTTATTGGTTTAAGATATCAAAGGAAACTTTTTTTCTCAATTCCATATTGGTATTACAAACTTAAAAATAATTCAAAGGATATATTTTTATAAGAACTTTTAAAATTATAAATCAAGGTAATTTTCATGGGTTGGCATAAGTATTTTGACAATGGATATTAACAAAAAAAACAAAGCTTAATACTAAACAAAACATAAGAAATTGATGGTAGATTAATAAAATGTATACCCGCCTTTGGCTTCGATAACTTTTTGAAGACGTCTTGGAACTGAGTCCACTAAATTTTGAAGGACCTCTAATGGTATCTCTTTCCAAAGAGAAGTGACCTCGGAAATAGTTTCTTCTTCGGTTTTATGCAAAGACGCATTTCTTTTACGTTTTACAAGAGACCACACATTCTCAATAACGTTTAAGTCCGGACTTTGTGGTGGCCAATCCAGAGTAGTAACACCAACATCGCTTAAAAATGCTCTTATCATTTTGCTTTTGTGGCATGGGGCGTTATCCTGTTGCAGGATAAATGATTCTCCAATCAGCCTGTCACCGGAAGGGAATGCGTTTTCGTTAAGGGTACTCAAATATTGTTGCTGGTTCATTGAGCCGGTGATGGGAACGAAATCACCTAACCCATTGTACGCAATGCATCCCCAGAACATGACTGAGCCTCCGCCATGGCTCACTTTTTGACATACGGGGATATTTTTTTGTCTTTGAAACTGTTTTGATGAATTATATTCAAAGGAGCTTTCATCTGTCCATAGAACGCTTCTCCAAAACTCTTTTGGCTTATGCAGATGCTCCTTTGCAAAAGCCAATCTTTTGAGCTTGTTCACCTTTGATATGTAAGGTATGTCCTTCGCTTTGTATGTCTTAAAATCTTCTTCTTTTAGGCGTCGCCGAACAGTACGCTCACTGATTGGAGTCTTGGTCGACTTATTCCATTGATCTGCAGCAGCTTGCGGCTTTAAATGAATATTTTTTTTAAATTCCCGCAATAGGACTCGATCTTCAATGGGTGTTGTTTTGCGGTTAGCACCTGATCTAGGCAAGTTTTTGACGTCATTGTGGGTCTTATATTTGTTAATTTGATAGTGGACTGTTTGCCGCGACAAATTATATTCATTTGCAATGTCTTTTGGTGCTACGCCGGCATTAAACTTCGCCACTATTGAGGCTCTAACAACATAACTTAATTCTGTCTTTTTTACCATTGTATCGATTACTTTTGAATCAAATTTTAATGAAAATAATGTAAAAAGGTCAACAAAAATTGTTACACCAAAGTTATTTTAGTATCACTTGATAAAACGTACGCGAAAACGGCGACAAAGATTTGGTCAAAATACTTATGCCGTGCCTGAATCCGCAGTCAACTCACATTGTCATTTGTAGAAAAAAGGTGTGAAGAGTAATAGACAAAATATTTTGCCTACATATTGTTGTTGCTATGAACTCAATATCCCGTATGAAAATTGTACCGTTATTCCTTGAAACTAAAAGCAACCAGCACCGATAGTCGTGAGTACAGTTCGTCAAAATAATTGTGCCGACCAGTGTATATTTGATATGGCGTTACTATAACATTGGGTGAGCATTGACTACATATTATGCCTTTCGTCTTCCATTTTGATTTGTATACCTTACTTGTACTTATTTTGCACAGTAAATTTAAAATATTCCCATATGAACATTATAGTATTATTATATTATGTTTATTTATTATTATATTCATTAATTTTAATTATTATGTTTATTAGGAAATTACTTTTTATAATAATGATCCACACACATGTTCGAGCTATAATTTGAGAGTACAAAGGAAACTAATGGAAACTAATTGTTCTTTATTCCCGACACCAGGTGCTTGCCGTTTTCTTGGCGCGTCGTTATCGTAATCAACATGATCCCTGTTACCTGCCAGCTCGCGCTGTTTTCCCCAACAACTACCAATATTAATAGGTGCAAAATAAATCGGAAGCTAATGAATCAAAGAGTCGCACCCGCATCAAACACCAAACAAACGAGAAGAAAGCGCGCCACCAATGTATATTTTTTAAACATGTTTCCTCATGTTTTTAGTCAAGGGGACGAAGTCTGATTTATTTTTACCATGATTTTCAAGAAGCAAGAAAACAATCAGGAGTGCTCTGTGTTCCTAGCTTTTATCACATTTAATAATTGTATGATTTAAATGTGCAAAGAGATTCGTTTATTCATATTGAGATTATATGTTTCGTGTTCAAATAGTTTAAGCGTATTCAACTATTATCTAGTTGAAATTTGTTTATTTGCTTAGATGTGTCGATTTTAATATTCTTTTGGCAGCTCACAACATGCAACAATCATGCTAACTAAACTCAACTACCAATTGCTGTACAACAAACATTTCGAACCTGATCTTAAAGTAGATAAATGCAAATGTAACTAAATTGCAAATGCTAAACTGTGTGTTTTAACGTCGTGGATACATATATGTCTACGTGTTTTACAAACAATATAAAATATTTTAGTAAACTAAAAATGAAACCAAATTGTTAGCCATGTGTTAAACATTATATTAGCACTAATACAAAAGTACATAACACAAATATATACGTACATATACAAAATTTTGAATGTTAAAACCTAACTCAAGTACTCGTACACAGCCTTCTTACCTGCTTTTTCTGTTCTGTTGTAGTTCTATATTTTCGGCTTAACTCAAGGATTTTCAAAAGCTTTTAACTGTTGACGCTGCTTTTACTTACTTGCCATACAATTAATTTACCTTACAACACGCTCAAGCACATAATTCAAACACGCGTATGGAATCGCACTCCACACTACCAGAGTTACAGATATTTGTACACTCCACATATTGAAATAGTTTTCCTCTTATGTTTCCTTTCGAACTTCCCTCTAAGTGACGACAAACCATTAGATAATATTCTCTATATTCTGTGCTGTGATTGAAGTAAATATGATCTTTAAAATCAAATCAACGCTCGAGTTTCATTTGTCTTTCACCAAGTTTTATAGCGTCCCAGCAGGCGTCCGCGCTGTAGCTAATTAGCGGAAAGTTTCAGTCTACGTCGAATGGTTCTGCCTTCCTGCCTTATTTGCCCATCTGAAGGATGTAGATTGCAGCACAGTGGGTGCGATTGAATAATAATTAAAAGTCGATGTTGGCATTGAATGCACGAATTATTGTCGCATGTCGCTGGGATTCACAAACATCGATTTGTATCCATTTTTAAAAAGGTTTTCTAATGTTGAGTTAAATGTTTTCAAACTAGTACACTACCTCCAACCAACTAAAAAAAAACAACAACAAGCTCAACTCTTAAAAACCCTGTACCTCCCACCAAAACGAAAAAAATGAAAAAAAAAAGTTATTTAAATAAAGAAAGGAATGCTAAAGTCGAGCAGGCTCAACTCTTAAATACCCTGTACCACCCCACAAAAAAGTAATTAAATTAATTAATTAATTTAATTTAATTAATTAAGTAAATTAATTTAATTAATTAACTAAATATTAACTAATTAAATATAAAATATTCCATGCATGCATACATACATTTACATTTCCATCAGAATCGTGCCTTATGCGTGTTTGTGTACTTGCACATATGTATGTATGTGTGCATTGGGCCTGGTTATATGGCTATAACTTTCTTTCCGATCATTCTATCATAATGAAACTTGGTATACGGATATATAATTACTAACTGGATGTGTCCAAATTTTAGTTAAAAATTCCAAGAATTACGGGAGTTATAGAAAATCGTTAATAGGGGGGGGGGGGGGGGGGGGGGGGTGGATCAGAAAAAATGAACAAACTCGTCCTTTCTCGGGCTCAGGAGAATCTGTATACCAAGTTCGGTTATTCTAGCTCTTATACTTTCGGAGATCCTTGCGTTCATACAGACAGACAGACGGACATGGCTATATCGACTCGGCTTGTCATGCTGATCAAGAATATATATACTTTGTGAGGTCTACCAAGCCTCCTTCTGTGTGTTCCATGTGCACTCGCACAAAACTAATATACCCTTGTACCCTTTGGGTACAGGGTATAAAAACAAGAGAGAACGCTACATCGAGCAAGCCCGACAGTGTAATACCCTGTACCCATGCGCCCATAGCAGCAGCAAAAAGAGGAAGAAGAAGAGCGAACTTGTTGATGCACTTTGGGGGGGTTGCACTGGGGAGAATTTGTTTTGCTAATAACTTTTCTTAGAATTGACCGAATTGAATAAAATTTCATACAACAGTAGACAATTATATATAAATTATGTGTGCAGTTTGGTTTAGGTAGCATTTGAAATGTGGACGCTATTGACGAAATTCTGTAGCGGGGGAAGGGAGGGAAAATTAAAAAAAAATAAAATAAACTCGTCCTTACTCGGACCCAGGAGAATCTGGATGCCAACTTTGGTTATTCTACCTTTTATAGTTTCTGAGATCCTCGCGTTCATCCAGACGGACAGACGGACGGACATGTCTAAATCGATTTCTCTCGTCGTGCTGATCAAGAATATATATACTTTTTGGGGTCGGAGATGCTTCCTTCTGTATGTTACATACTTTGCACAAACCTAATATACCCTTTTTACCCTACGGGTACAGGGTATAAAAATAAACTTGACCTGCCTAGGGCTTATGGGAATCTGGATACCGAGTTTGGTTATTGGTGGCCCACCCGTAGAAAACATTTTTCCATATAAAGTCGACCACACGTTCCTTATTATGACGCATTATTTCGCCTTAAAATGGATCTGAGTTGGATTTCTTGAAGTTTTTTCATTGATCATATGCATTAGTTATTTTTTAAATGCATCGTGCATTATCTAATCAAATTTGTAATTAATTTAATTTTTTTTAAAAACTAACCACCTAATCAAATGGAGCCAGCGAATGTTTAAATTATCCGATTTTGAGAATTAATTAAAGGGTGTATTATTTGCACAAATAATAAAGCCGTTTCCCCAGATACCAATAAAAAAAGGTATATTAAGTACCCGGATTGAGTCCTCAAAGTAGTCGAATTCTATGGTCGCATGGAAATAAATTTGTAACTCCTCCGTGTTTTCCTCGCATAGCGGAGCCAAAAAGAAAATCGAGCTCGATGTTGTAGTTTGTTGGTAGTACAGGAGTAACATTTTTTAGCTAAAAACTTTTCTTAGAATTGAGCGATTTGAATGACACAATATAGATGCATCATTCGTATCAATATACCCTTTTTAATCTTTGGGTTGAGTATAAAAATTGTTTCCATTCAATAGATATAGTAAATGCCCAAAAAGAGTAAAAATTAAAAAGTAAAAATTAGTCTGAATACACATAATAAAACTTTTCAAGCTGCGGTTCAAGATTCCTAAACCAATTTATCCGTCTTATCCTCAATGTTTAGCTTCACGAATTTCTTTACCTCTTGACTTAATTTAACGTTCTGTTGCTGTATTCTGAAATAACTTATAAAGGTCCCAGTACAAAGGAATCGCATTATTTATAAGTGAATGACACTTAACTCGACATCTCCCCAGGGATGTCGACGTCTGTCATGTGAAAGCATGATAAGACGCAGGGAGATACGTTTCCCTAAAATTAGTTCCCATAGTGAAGCTCAGAACGGGATTCACTCAAATTCGTCGTCGCGGGCTCAAACAACTCTTCATCAGAGCAAGGTCGAGATGGCGACAGCAAACAGTTATAGGTTCAATGCACTCAAGCGCATTGAAACTGCTCTACGCTCTCAGTTGGAAGTTGCTGCTGAGAGTAAGGAGAGCGCGCGCGCATCGTCTTGGGGCCGTGGTGTGAGGGATGATTCGAGTGAGGAGCGAGCTGCTTATTATATAACGGATACGCAGTGCTGGCACAAAGCACATTTCGTTTTGCGTGGAAAAATGTGGGCGTGGTGGCTGGCAACCTGCCCTCGCTTAAGCTTCTGCCGCTCCTGCCATTTTGGGGCTAAGCGTATTTGTTTGTTTTTATTTGTTGGGTTGGTCGCTTGGCGGCCTTGCGACGATTTGTTTTGCTGTTGACGTTGCTCTGTTTGCTGTTGCTGTTGTTGGCGATGTGGTCGTCGCCTCTGCAGCAGAAATAGCCACCAACTGCGTCATTTACCTACATGTACTATATATACATACTTATATTGGCACCTTGCAGGTCCAAACAGGTAATTACTGAAACCACTAGTGGTAATATAAATTCACTGCATTAAATTACCCAAATTTTTATCGTACGCCTTTTGTTTTTATTTTGGTCCGGATTCATTACTTATATTGGAAATTGTTTTTTGCCTTTTGATTATTATTTTAAAATACAAGTACTGTAGCCAATTGGATAAACAGCATTAATTTTGCGTCTTTTATTTTCACTTTTTTGTGTTGTATAAATGACTCACAAAATATTTAATTATTGTTATAATTTTTAGCATCAATAAAATATTTCATTTGTATTAATTAATTCAGTTTCTCTTCGCCTCATAATCTTTCAGCTTAAGAAAAATCTTCTTTAAAGTAAGCTAATTAAGAAAAGTGGATATTATCACTAACCTTAGCCAAGAAATGTAACGCGCCTTTGAGTGGGAATACATATGTTCGATAGTGCAAGAAAGCGGTAATTTACCCAGGAACTGACCTAGGACAACTGGACTTATGGGCAGTTAGTTCTGTAAATGAAATTCTATTACCAAAGCTTCAACTACAACCAGAAGTTCTTCAGGGTCTGTAAACATATACACATGCGTATATGTAAGTGTAATTTGATGCAAGCTTTCCTTTCACTGTTTGCTTATAAAGGAGCAATGCAGTTGAAAGGAGAGGGCATTTGAGCATTCACATGTGAGTAGTTCTAAATTCTTCTGTGTACCACATACATAATTGTTTGTATCTCTACCACTTTCAATGCCCATCGCTGTGGTCGTAACCACTTGGGCATTAAATAAATTATGTTCTTTGTGGACATGAACACACGACTCGCTTTCCATTGACGTTTCATTTTGTTTTTATACTATTGTCGATAACTTGTCAATGCGCTCCATTGAGTTTAATTGCCAGGCGGCCAAGCATTAGACATTGCAGATGGCTGCTATGTACAATTGTGAGAATATCCTACGCCTGTCAGTATCAGGATAACTGCCTTCACGTGTGCAATTGCTTCCGGCGTCTGGGCGCAGCAGCCGATTATCGGTTTGAACAACACAAGCCAGACTAAAATGATCACATTTTATAAATTCAAAAACCATCTTACTATTGGTAGCGCGAATATACAAGTACATATTTACCAAACTTTGTGTGCTACTCGAAGTTGAATTGAAAGCTTTAGAATAACCAAACTTGGTGTTCAGGTTTTCTTAAGCCCTAGACAAATCAAGGGTTCGTTTTTTGTTCTTTTAATAACTCTCGTAATCTTAGGGATTTTACATTTGGAAATTGCTTCCGGATAGTGCTTGCGCATCCTCATGCCCTTTTTCATCATGATATGTCAACACTATCAGCATCTTATACCCACAAATCCACAATTGCAAGAGTTTTGGAAAAACACTAGAAATAAAACATTTTTGGGTCCGCTACGCCTTCGCACTTGACTATAATACCTCATAAGGGTCATTTTTAATAGGCCGA